CTGTTGACTATGGAGCCAAGCAAACTAAAGCTGTGTACAATCTCAATCTCTTCACCATCCATCCTGATGCTGCCAATTGGTCCAGTGGATTAGGGAAGTTTTTATCTCTAAGAGTCTTTAGGGGGGGACTTTCATGTGGTTTTGCCAGGTGGGTGGTCTTCAATTGAGGGAAGGGAGGGACACTCCATTGTAGTTTAGTCAGTTGGGCGAGGCTGTTACTTCCTTTGTTGACATGTTGATATTCTTTGAATCCTTTGAATTCTCCCTTTGACCTTGGTCTTGCCTGACAATTTGTTGCAATCTCTGAATAATAACACTCTTAAGTTCTTTGGGTTCTCTATTTCCTTTGGCCATTCTTGTTCTTTCCTTCCATCTGGCTTTGTTATTGGGTACATGCTGCCATTTTGTCACTTGTGATTGATTGTTTTGGGGAGTACATTCTTCAGGGGTGGTGTATACTTTTTTCAGGATAAACAGCAAGATACAATCTTTTTTTTTAAATAAAAAATTCATTCTTTTTTTATTTTCCTTTGTACAAGTTGCCTTTTTGAAGTAAAATGACTGAATCTTTATTGTGCCATAGTTTGGACGACCATATAAATATATAAAGCTTATTTAGTGTTTATCTCTTCTTGAATGTAGGAGGATTTTTGTTACAATACAGATTAAAATCTAGGTCTTCAAGTGTAGGATTTTATTCTATTTTATAGGAAATGTTATAAATTTTTCTCCCAGCCATTTTATGAAATGTTCTCATTTCATAAAAACATTTCTTTTTTTCAAAAAAATTTTTTTTTTATTTTTGTGTGTACCGTCAAATTAGATCTGACTGGTACAGGAGATTGTTCATCCTTTTCCAGCAGAGCGTTTGGTGGATTTGAACCACACACCTCTGGGATTTCAGTACAGCTTCTTGCCAGTAGGCCACCAGAGCTCGCCATAAAGCATTTCTTTTTTTTTTTTGAGGTTGTAATCTTTCCCTTTTTTTTTTATTGGGAAAAACATACTGGGGGTACAAGGAGGTGAGGGTTGGGGGCAGAAGGGTGAGGATGGGCCAGGATGCAGTTGCAGAGCTGCACAGTTTGGTCAGTGGGGGAAGCAGGTGAAGGAAATGATGAGGGTCCAGTGGGGACCAGGTGCTACAGAGGAATGACAAGCATTTTCCAATGGTAATTAAACCATTGATTGTGTACAATTGATTTGTCTTATTGATTTGGGAATTGGATGCCGACTCTGGCTTCTTCATGCTGAACAGGGGCATAGATGTAAAGGGGAGAAGGGAGGATGCTTTATCACTTTACTGATGGTCTTGGGTTAAAGCTGCTTGCCTTCTTGCTCTGTTAGAAGATATTTTCCTGTCATTTGCTCATCTCTGGACTGCAAAGTGTTTTCTCAGGTGGGTCCAATGGGGATGGCTGTTTGAACCCAGAGGCTCCATCCCCCTTTGCTTCCTTAGCTGTCAGTTGTATTTCCTTTTTGTCACTGGCACTGGGTTCAGGGTCAATTCTGGAGTAAAACTCAGTGTTAAGGTACCTATAGGAAAGGGAGCAAAGCTAGAGAGAACAAACTTGTGAGTTACAAATAGAAGGGCTTTGAGGGTGTTGCTTTCAGGTTTACTGGGGGGGGTGGGGTGGTGGAAGATGGCCTAGGTAACATTCTCTGGATACCCTAGGCATTCTTTTTTTGTTTTTTTTTTTCCTTTGCCACCCAGGGGTCAGATGGCACAATCTGGGGACTGAGGAGCTCATCCTGAGGGCCGTGACGGCTCGCCCCGAGCTGGGGGCCGCCCGCCCTGGGCAGGGCAACACCCCCCAGGAGCTGGCTGGTATACTCCCCCTCCAATTGCCCCAACCCCAGTCTGGTCCCCTTGCCTGACTGAGGACTCTGTGGTCAGGGATAGTGTTTCCAATTCAGCACTGCCACTTTTACCCCCCCATAAGTGGTCATACTATATTTTGAAGTAGGTGTCACTGCCCTCCCCCTTTTATATGATAAAGGGAACCTGAGAATTGTGAACAGATTCCCCCCAGGTCTAACCATCTTTTGGCAGAAGCATACAACAGAACAAAGTATGTAGTGCATTTAGGATGTTGGTCCTCTTGTGCATGCTGCCACTGTTAAGGTCATCAGACTCACAGTGACTTTCAGCAATCCATTGTATAGGTAATCGTCGTCTTTGGCCTATCCAAGGAAACCCAAACCTGCAGATGGTGGGCATGGGCGCTGGGCGGGTGCGTGGCCCCTCTTGTGCGGGTGGCTGGGCGGGCACCCGCTTCCCCCACAGCCACCATCCTGGCTCCAAGAATTCTCTCCAGAACAAGTCCACATTGCGGCAGTGTGGTGGCTTCGTTGTACCAGTCTTGAGGAGGGCTGGTGCCCAGCATCCATCCCATTTCTCCTTGGGAATCCTTGAATTCCTGTTGTTCTGCCTCGATCTTCACTGATGGCCAGTCATCAACTGTTTAAGTGTTCAATTATCAATAAGCTGAAGTCTGTGGAAGGCCATAATGGCCCTGCTTTAAGTGGTTCGCTGCTCCTGCAGCTCACCACACTGTCTCTGCCTCCGCCGCTATCTTGGATCTTCATAAAGCATTTCTTAATGTTTTTTTGTTTTTTAAATTTTGAGATTATTTTATCGGAAAATTTTAAAAAAATGACTTAATTTTAGATTAGTGGGAGTTGCAAAAATAGTAGTGACTTAATGTATACCTTTCCCTTTGCTTCTCTTTATGTTAATAGTTTACATAAATAAGTTAAAACATTGTTTAATCTTAGCAGTTAAACTTGCTGCAGTACTGTTGATCAAAGTACAGAATTCATTAGAATTTTTACCATTTTTTTCTGCTAACGTCTTTTGCCCATCCAGTAGCCAATCCAGGGTTCCACAGTACTTTTAGTTGTCCTGTCTTTGTAGGGTAGAGGGACAGCGCAGGAGGGGAAGACCCTCTGTAAGGTGGATTGATTCAGTGACTGGGGTAATTGGGATGGGTGTGTCAGAGGCAGTGCGATTAGCACAGGATAGAGCAGGGTTTAGGGCTGTTGTACATAGGGTCGCTATGAGTCCCAAACGACTCACAACAACAATCTTTGTAGAATGTCTTTCAGTTTGGGTTTGCCAGTGTTTCATATTTAGATGTAGCTTTTGCAGTACTTGGGAAGATGCCACTGAGATGATGAACACATTTCAGAGATTAGGAAGTTTCTCAGTACTAGATGGATTCCTATTACTTGTGCTTCCTGCATGCTCATTGGACCCTTTTAATCTGGAAATACGTGTCTTCAGTTTTGAGAAACTTTCTTGATTGCTTTGATAATAATTTCCTTTACTTCATTTTCTTTGCTATTTGTTTTTTATTGTCTTAGAACTGTAAGTTTTATATTAGACCTCCAGCATTATCTTTTCTTTCCATCTAGTTATCTTTGTTTCTTTTGTTCTAGTTTCTAAAATTTTCCTAAACCTTCAGTGAGTTTTAAGATTTCTGTTAATTAGTTTCTTTTTTTGAATTTTCCCTTTTGATAATATCCTGGTGTTATTTGATCAAACACTGATTTTTGACTTCTCTGATAACTTTGAGGATATTTTTTATTAACTTTCTGACATATTACTGGGTTTTTAGAAGAAAGTAGATTCAAAGGCATTTATTCACCCTGTCACATTTAATGGAAGGTTTTTGTTTGCTTAATGAAAGAAAACTTAGGGGAAAGAACCCATTAAAGTTATTTTTGGAAAGTAGTAAAATTAATAGCCACCAGAAACTAATTTTCTATTAGGTTATATTACTTAATTGTTTCTGATATCAGAATACTTTTTATTTAGTTGGAACACCAAACAAATACCTTGAGAGTACCCCCAGTTCAGAATCTTACTCAGTGTTTCTTATAGCGAAATTATGTGTTACTTGATAAGGTAGTATGAAATGAAGAAAGGGAGTATAAATTGAAATAAAGAATATATGTAGAGCATGAAACCCCTGTTTTATGAGGTGTTTTTGCTTTGGATAATAAAAAAATTTTATTGATGTAATTTATAGGAAGATTTTCCAGAATTGTCACCATATGAAAGGAAGAGACTAAAGAACATATCAGAAAATGCAAACTTTTTTGCATCTCTTCAGTTGTCTGAGGTTTGTATAGAGTCTTTTTTAATTAAAACTATAAATCTGTTTCTCCTTTCTGGTAATGTAGTAGTTTAAGAATCTGGCTGCTAAGTAAAAGATTAGCAGTTCAAACCCATTGGCCACGCTTCAGGAGAAAGATGAGGCAGTCTGCTTCATAAAGATTCATGATCTTTAAGACCCTAAATTCTCTCTTCTTGGGGGTCAGTCTGAGTTGGAATTGACATTATGGCAGTGTTCTATTGGTAAGGCGCTGTACTGTCAACCCATAGGCATGCAGCTTGAATCCACCAACTGCTTCATGCTAGAAAGATGGGCATTCTTCTTCTGGATGATTTACTGCCTCTGAAAACCCACTGCAGGGTCAGCTATGAGTTGGTTCTGACTTGATGTCAATGAACAATAACAGTAAGTGAATAGGATACTTATAATACCAGGCTGAATAATGTTAGGTAGACTAGGGAGGGCAAAATAAGGAATAAGTTTTGCACTTATTACAAAGTTACTGTATTTAATTTATTCTAAGGTATTTTTTCATATCTTACTATTCCTAAAATTGACATCTTAGGACCATAATTGACAGTTCTCCCCCCCCCTTTCTTGGTGATACATAAAGAAATGACAACTTTTGATTATCAATGTTAGAGTCAAAGAAACAGCATACATTCCAAATGGTTGCTTTAATGAAAGGATGAAAAATGTCAATGAAAGTGGCTGAAAGATAGGTGGTAGATGAATGAGGGACCAGCTTTATCTTTCTCTTTCTTTTTTTTTTTTCGTTTTTAAACATTTAGATGAGAGTGTACTTTTTATAAAGAGCTGTATAAGCAAGATAAATAGCCAGATATATACAGTTTTTTATTATCATAACTAATTTTATAATTTGTATTGTTTTCAACACTTTATGTAGCAAAGTAAATGTTATTCTGTCTACTCTAAAAATATCAGAGCCTTGGTTTTATAAGGCATTTCTTTGAATTTCGGATTTTCCGATATTTGATAAATGTTTCTATCTTGGGGAGAGAGAAACAAATTACTTGAAGGGACTAAATTGCTCAGTAATTAACAATTGAAAATTTTGTCAAAATTTTAATTATTTCTGGAGCTCTAGTGGCCTAGTAGCAAGAAGCTGTGCTGCAGTCTCAAAGGCACACACTTCAAATCCAGCACCTTTCGCTGGAGAAGGAGAGGCAGTTTCCTCCTGTGCCTGTCATATCTGATTCAACAGTACACGTGAATTAAAAAAAAAAAAGAAAATGTTTAATTATTTTTAATTATAATCTTACTTAACATAAACTATGATTTGATTTGATTTTAAAAAGTATAACCCACAACTTTTTGGGAAGTAAAGTAGTAGTACAAACTTAATAAAACTTATTTTTTTTATTTGTTACAGTATATTGATTAATATAATCTTATAAGATCATTAGCAACTTAGTTCAAAGGTATCAGAGTATTAGTACATTCAAAACAACTTTGAAATATCATCTCACCCCCGGTAAGAAGAGCAAAATTTTTTTTTAAATTTTATTTTATTAATTTTAATGAACATTTACAGAGATTTTGGATTTCCATTCATTCATTGTTGCACTTTTCTCCCTGCCCACCCCTCCCCCCCAATTCACTCCTCTCTTTGAAAAGTAAAATTCCTCTTTGGTATACAATCCCCCCTGCCTGCCTCCCCTTCCCCATCCCCCCAGTACACTCCAGTATGCAACCTTAATTCTGGACTCTTGTAAGAATAGCAAAATTTAAGAGCATACATCAAATGCTGGCGAGGTTGTGGAGAAACTAGAACCCTTATTCACTGTTGGTGGGAGTATAAAATGGTGCAACTACTATGGAAGGCAGTATGGCGCTTTCTCAAAAAGTTGCAAATAGAAATACCATTTGACCCAGCAATTCCACTACTGGGAATAGACATTAAAGAAACCATAACCTCCACCCAAGCAGATATATGCACACCCATGTTTATTGCGGCTTTGTTCACAATAGCAAAGAAAGAGTTGGAAACAACCCAAATGCCCATTAACAAACAAATGGATAGAGAAGCTCTGGTATAGTCACACAATGGAATACGATGCTGCATTGAAAAACGAGGAACTCATGAAATATTATTCAAAATGGGTGACCCTGGAGGACATTATGCTGGAGTGAAATATTTCAGTCACAAAAGGACGAATATTACATAGTGCCACTATTGTACAACGAGACTGACATCAGGGTTGGGGGGAGACTGAGAAAGGGGATAAATAATGTATACAGCATTGAAATAGATGAGGGAGAGAACTGTTTAAAAGGGATATATGATTAGGTATTATTGTAATGATAGGAGTCCAGAATGAAGGCTGCACAGTGGAGTGGACTTGAGGGGAGGGATTGTAAGTGAAAGAATTTTTCTTTTACTTTTCAAAGAGAGGAGCAAATTGGCGGGGAGGGGTGGGCAGGGAGAAAAGTGCAACAGTGAATGAATCGAAATTCAAAGTCTCTGTAAACTTTCATTAAAATTAATAAAAAAAAGAATATTAGTACACTGACAGTATTATATGTTATTATATGTTTGTCTTTATTATTGATAGTGCATTTGTGTTAAGAGCAGGTGTTGTATGTAAAGATCTCTTGTAAGACTTTAGTTCAGTGTGTATATAGTTGTTGTTGTTGTTATGTGCCATCTAGTTGCCTGCGACTCATAGCGACCCTATGTACAACAGCCCTAAACTCCGCTCTGTCCTGTGCCAATCGCACTGTCTCTGACACTTCCATCCCAATTATCCCAGTCACTGAATCAATCCACCTCATAGAGGGCCTTCCTCTCCTGCGCCGTCCCTCCACCCTCCCAAGCATGATGTCCCTC